ACTGTAACAGAGTGTATCTCACTCTCCTTTATTTATTTCTTTTTCTTTTTCTTTCTTTCTTTCTTTTTTTTTGGAGAGGTTTTTGCTATAGGGCATGTGTGCTCGCCAGATAGACAGAGAGAGACAGAGAGACAGAAAGCGAGAAATCACCCCCCAGGGGGGGATGGTCACGCTGCAATCCCTTCTCCTCCATTCTCCTCTCGGGATCTTGGGCATGCACGCACACGCGCCCAGCGTGAGTTCTAAGCCACCGGGTCCGGGATGCGAACCGTGGTCGACTACGTGGGAGTCCAGTGACATAGCCATTATGCTAACCGCTCTCTCTCCTTTAAAATCCACCAGGACTTAATCATAGGGACCCCTCTCTGATACCTAATCACTTCCCAACAGCTCCGCGTTTCGGCACCATAATAAAATTTAAGCCTCTTAATACCTTCACAGTACGACCAACAGTTTAAGCAGTTGAATTCTGGGGGACACATTTAAACTATAAACAGTAACAAACACACTGTTAATGTTTGAAAAGTTTAAAAAATGGTCCACTTATTCCACAAAGAAAACCAATATGTACAGTTTACCACTACTTTGCATCAGAATGCTGGACACACACACGCACACGCGACATTCGCACGCAGAGATGAAATGTAACATTAGCTTGTGGAAGTTTGATAGATTGTAAATAGGGCACTTAGTTCCTCACTCAGAGTGGATGGAATTTGAACTTTCTTTCCACTCCTTACTTGACGTTTGTGGTTCTGTCAAGGACACTAAAAATCTATGTCAACATGTACATATTGCTAGAGCCACAGGTTTGTAGAAAGACCATCTTGTTCACTGTCCCTTTTTCCCTACACATACACATATCAGTAATTGCTTAAATATCATTGCTGACAGGTTATCTAGTCTGATTAGGTATTTTAGTGACAAATAACTTCCTGTCTCCTGAGAAAAACTTCTGCTGGTGAACAACCTTGTCAAAAAAAAAAAAAAAAAAGTTAACATTAAACTACATCAATGTTTATTGAAAAATTTCCTCTTCTAAGTGACAAGTTTTATGGAAGGCCTTAAAGTACAACTTCAAAGTTGAAATTCTCTCAGTTTAGCTTAATAACTTCAAGACAGTTCAACACCATCAGTACCATTTGGCCATGTGTTTATTCTGTAGAGAAGATTTGTGAAATAAGGTCTGGAATCCTGAAGATTCTCATTTGCTCTGGACAGAGCAAAATCATCTCAAGAGTGGAGTGAAGGTGTTGGCTGAGGGGGTGAAGAAACTCACTGGGAACAAAGAACTAGATATTTAGGGAGACAACTAGGGATACAACGATGTTGTCACAGAATTGCTAAAGGTCACAGAGGAAGAGAAACAGTACAAAATTAAACAGACTGTGCAGCACTTAGGAACAAAAAATTGTGAAAAAAATAAAACAAAAAGATTCAGTGATAGTTTACCGTTATTCCTGTAGATTTTCTCTCAACCTTCTCCACTCTGCTCCTTGTCCTGGGAATCTGACCTGAGGAACTACAGCTGCCACGGGCTTATTCTTTTTTTTTTTTTTTTTTTGGAGAGGTTTTTTCTATAGGGCAAATGCACTCAACACAAAGACAGAGAGAGGCAGATAGAAAGTGAGAAATCACCCCACAGGGAGGATAGCCATGCTGCAATCCCTTCTCCTCCATTCTCCTTTCAGGATCTTGGGCACACACGCACACGCGCTAGGCCTGAGTTTAAGCCACCAGGTCCGGGACTTGAAACCACGGTTGACTACATGGGAGTCCAGTGACATAGCCATTATGCCAACTGCTGGTCCCGCCCATAGGCTTCTGAATAGATTCTGGTTAGCCACAGGGGTACCTGAAGAAGAAAGTAAGACTGGAATTTTTAAAAAATTTACTATTATCATTTTAATTCACCAGAGAGTGACAGAGGGAAAGTGAGAAAGCAAGCTTTTAGGTCTAAGATCTCAAAATGCAGTTGGTCATGTGAAAGTCCAGCACCTTAACCACCATGCCACCTGCTGGCCCCAAGGTTGGAATATTTATCCCTTTCCCCAGTCTTCCTCCCCGTGGGGTTCCTACAGGCTATTTCCCTCAAGGCCTATATCAGACTGCCCTCTCTGGATTCTAGTTACCCTCTCCCCTTCAGGACTGGGGAATTTCATAACTCTTGTGGTTTCTCAGAACTCCATCTATAAATAGTACTGTTCATTATTATACCAGATTACCCAATTAGAATGTGCCATCTGTTTCCTGCTAGGACCCTGACTATCACATTTAGTCCCATTGATCTCCCAACATGCATTTACTGAGTAACTATAATACTATATGCTAAGGAGGAATAAAATGATAAATTGAACAGTTAATGCCTTCAATGGGGATAGTCTGGAGAGTAGAGATGGCCAAAGAAACATCATTGAGTTATTTTATATATCTATATTTTTTAATGATAGCACATGAGGACATCAGAGAGGGACAGAAGCACCCTCAACAGTGTTTCCTAACTTTGGGATCCCCTCTCCCACCTTTCAGCTTGTCAGGATTTTGAGTGCCTGCACACACCCAGGTTCAGTCCAACCCAAGAATCCCAACCCTGTGGCTGGCCTTGTGACCAACCTCTAGCACTGCAATCCAGCACACCTAATATATTACATCTTGATAAGTGATGCAGAGAGCCAGTAGGTGGGGAGGAGATTGGGGTGTAAAACAGAGGCGCGGGCAGATTCTGTCAAGTTTTTTTTTCTTTATTTACGATGAAGTGCCTGCACATGCATGAAAGATAGTGAGAAAGAGAAGAGCATCCTCCGCAGGCTCCTGTCATGCCGCGATGCCCTTTGTTCAGGCCTCCCGCCCATCAGCTCTTGGGCACGAGTGCCCAGCGTGTCAGGGCGTTTCTTGCAGAAGGTGGAGTTAAGCAGATTCAGAGGCAGGGATGCAGGTAGAGAACAGTGGTGAGCTGTGAGAGCTGCTAATAGCCAAGGGCACGCAGGGATATCAGGCTGTAAAAAGAGATTAGAATAGAGGGCTCTGCTCTGCTCACTCTGTCCACCAAGGGAAAAGTAATGACACAGGTGAAGTCTGCGGCCTCTTACTTTTACCCCTTATTCCTGCCTCACTAACAAGACTTGACACTCCTACTTCCTTGGCCTAAAATATGTCTTCTGGAAATCACTCCATGCACTTCCTGCGCATGGTAAGGTCTTTCAAGAGGGGCCAGCAGATGGTATAATTACGTGGCTGGACTCCCACCTAGGCTACTGCATTTTGAGTCCTAGACCTGGCGGCGTAAACTCACCGCTGGGCATGTGTGTGAACATTCTCCCAGCAGTTAGCGTAATGGCTATGATGCTGGACTCCCACGTATTCGACCATGGTTCGCATCCTGGACCCGGTGGCTTAGAACTCACGCTGGGCGCGTTTGCGTGCGTGCCCAAGATCCCGAGAGGAGAATGGAGGAGAAGGGATTGCAGCATGACCATCCCCCCTGGGGGGTGATTTCTCGCTTTCTGTCTCTCTGTCTCTCTCTGTGTCGGGCGAGTGCACGTGCCCTGTAGCTAAAACCTCTCCAAAAAAAAAAAAAAAAAAAAAGATCCCAAGGGGAGAAGGAATTTCAGAAGGAATTTTAGTGTGGCCATCCACCCCGGGGGCATAATTTCTCACTTTCTGTCTCTCTGTCCATCTTTGTTCTTTCCAGTGAGTTCTGTACCAAAAAAAACTCTCTTAAAAAAAAAAAAAAAAAGCTGATAACAAGACAATATGGCAAACTTGTTCTCGGAGATAAATTACAGAGGAGGGACAGAACAGAACATTCCCATTCTAGAAGCCCTGCCAGCCTTTTTCTCTGGGGGCAATAAATAATGCTGACACCATTCTTGTCCAGTGAGAATGGTGATGATTATGTTAGAAAGGGCCAGGAGCAAGCTTCACTTCATCAAGAAGAGGCTTTGGTTCAAATTGGCGTGGGCAGGTTGGCTTTTTTTTTTTTTTTTTTGCTATAGGGAGCTTGTGCTCCCTGAAGACTGAATGGAAGAGAGCGAGAAGAGACAGAAGGTGAGAAGCCCCTTCCCTCCCCCAGGATGACCATGGTGCAATCTCTTCTCCATTCTCCTCTCAGGATTTTGAGCTCCCATCGTCCTGGACTCCAACCTCACTGGCAGCCATGTAGGAGCCACCGCCTTAACCAACAGGCCACCTGGCTGGCCCCAGGTAGACACATTTTTTTTTTAAAGAATGGTTCTTTTTTTCTATAGGGTGCATTTACTCATGGGAGAGACAAAGTAGTCTCTTTGCTAGGTTAAGCCGAGCCCACTGCTGCCCATACCACCCCACAGGTTCCTCACGATGCTTCTTGGCACCAGAGACAGCCAAAAGGCTCTGGAGCTTCTTCAGAGGCTTCAAGGGGCTCAGGAAGCGTGATGACTTAGAAGCACACACATAACCCCATTCAACCGATTGGTCTCCTCTTATGACCAGGAGTGTGCACCACTGCCGTACTCGGTCTACCCACAGCAACGAGAGACCCTAAGTTCAAAGAAAGTGGTGAGTATGACATCGTCCGAGTTCCCTCAATAACTAACTGGTCTGCGACCTCGGATGCCAGACCAGGGCGCGGCCACCGCCCAGTGAGCCCTCTCCACCGCCGGCTGGCCGCGAAATCCCGGGGGTGGGGCCGTTTCCGAGCGAGGGCCAGCTGCCCACCCCCAGGAAGCCCTACACCAGGGGTAAGTTCAAAGAAAGTGGTGAGTATGACATCGTCCGAGTTCCCTCAATAACTAACTGGTCTGCGACCTCGGATGCCAGACCAGGGCGCGGCCACCGCCCAGTGAGCCCTCTCCACCGCCGGCTGGCCGCGAAATCCCGGGGGTGGGGCCGTTTCCGAGCGAGGGCCAGCTGCCCACCCCCAGGAAGCCCTACACCAGGGGCCAGCCGCTGAGAAGGCCCCTCCCCGCAGGCGGAGACAGCTCGTTAAGTCGACGCCCGGGTCCCTCCGCCAGGCCAGTACCCAGAGGTCGCCGCCGTCGCAGCCTCGCAGAGTTCTCGAGGTTGGCGCGACACTGAGCATGGGCGCTGATGGCCATGGAAGGCTACAGAGGCTTCCTGGCGCTGCTGGTTTTGGCGTTGTTCTTCGGCTTCCTGTCGGTGATCTGCACCCTCGTCTGGGTCCTCCACTACCGGGAAGGGCTCGGCTGGGACGGGAGAGGAGCCGAGTTTAACTGGCACCCGGTGCTCCTTGTCACCGGCTTCGTCTTCATCCAGGGCATCGGTACTGGGCACCACCGGGGGGCGGCGGGTCCGGGACGGAGTCCCAGCCCAGTGGGTCGGAGTGGGGAAGGAGCGCGCCGGGAGCCGAGCTGGGGCTGGGCGGCGGGAGGGAGGTGGGCGGGCTCTGACTGGGCCGGGCGTCCAGGGAGCCCCGGAGTCCAGGCGCCGGGGGCGCAGCACGGGGTGCGCTGTGGGGGACCGCTGCCAAGGGCGGCCTGGCACAGGCTGCGGTGGCGACCAAGCGGCTTCGGCCGCACTAAGCTCTGTGCAGGGAGTAGTTGGGATGTATTTGCGGCGCCCCCGAATAGAGGAGCGGTGCGGCGGTACTGCGCCTTCCCGCCCGAGGCGCCGCACTTGCTCGCAACAGTCGCCCGCTGTGGACCGAGCCTGCGCGGGCGGGGGTGCGGACGCGCTGTGGGCAAGGCCTTTCGCTGTACTTGCTTCAAGGCTGCAGATTAGGAGAAGGCAGGGGGCGGGGGTGGACGGGGAGGTGCGAGAACGTGCCTCTTCAGCCCTGGGAAGGTGGCCGGGGAGCGAGGCATCGGCGCTGGCTTTCACTCTCCCAGGACATGCAGCCCGGGACGCAGCCGGGACCCGAGCCTGTTGCGTTGCCCTCCTCCGTCACTGGACCGACTTGTTTATGTGGCGATCGCGGGGGGAAATCTCCCGCGTGGGGCTTTCCGTTGGGCGCTGGCCCGGGCCTGGGGCGGAGGCGTCCGAGAGGAACCGCGCGGCGGGGCTCCGCGGAATGCTGGCCCGGCAGGGGCACCCCCGGCCTTTGCGCCCGGGACGAGGCTGCGCCGAGCTGGCGGCGTGACCGAGTGTCGTGGCGCTGTGCCCCTCCAATGTCCCGACAGCTTCTGCGGCTGCTGTTGGGCTGCAGAAACCTGTAGCTAATGGCGCAAACACCGTTCATCTGTAACCACTTTCCAGAAAGTGAAGTAAGGCCGAGGCCTTGAGAAAGTATTTAGAAAAAGGTAGAAAGTGTGAACTGGGGTTATGGCGCAGAAAATAATCAGAGGAGTGGAAAGGATTTGGCTGCAACCTCTAGCTCTGCCTCTGAGCGGGCTGCCTGTTCTTCGCGAACGTTGAACTCCCCACAAACAAGTGAAGGAAAAAGAAAAGGAAAGAAAGAAAGAAAGAAAAAAGGGCCTTACTCCTAAAGAAAAATAGTTTTGGTTTGCTTAGCTTGGTTTGGGGTCTGTTGTTTGTTTCCGTCTTAAACTCGTACTGCGCCCCGGGCGGGCGAGCGGAGCCAGCCTCCGCCCAGTCGGGATGGGGTGGAAGACGTTACTAACGCGCAGGCTTTCTCGGCTCGCGAATGGGCTTGGCCCGCGGCGGTGAGTACCACTAACATCCAATTCTGTTGCGTAACTCCCAGCTCTTTGCCGCTGCTCTGAACCGAGAAAAACACCCTCGAGTTCCAGAGTCGCTGTCATCAGAAGCCCTCTTTCCTTCATGGTAGAGCCGGTACGTTTGTCCCGCCGGTCAGCATCTTGTTTGCTCCAAACAGGAATGGCCTCTTCATCCGTTCCACCCAGCTCCTCAGAGCAGCTCCCAATTCCGAGAAACTTTTCAGAGGTCTTGGACTATTTTCTCCTAATTGAGTAAGGGAACCCTAGATGCCATTACTTATTGCCTGACTTAGCAAAGAGGAAACGAAGCCACAAGGCGGCTAACAATTATTACAGGAACCAGAAGTTGGGGTAATGGCTATGTCGCTAGACTCCCATGTAGTTGACCATGGTTCGAGTCCCGGACCCTGTGGCTTAAACTCACGCTGGCGCATGTGCGTGCGTGCCCAAGATCCCAAGAGGAGAATGGAGGAGAAGGAATTGCAGCGTGGCCGTCTCTCTGTCTCTATCTCTCTGTCTCTATTTCTGGCAAGTGCACATACCCTATAACAAAAACCTTTCCAAAAATAAATAAATAAATAAATGATTGAGGAGGTCTGGCGCTGTGTCTCTTCCCTTGCTACCGGCCAGGCCATGCTGGTGTCCATGAACTGGTATTTAAGGTGCCTTTCCAGCAGCTGAGAAAAGCATTGAGTCTGAGTCCTCAGCAGTCTTGTAGCTGGATCGCCTAGGAAGAGAAGTTCTAAAGCAGTCAGAAGAGAGCAATTCCATTTATTTGCTGCTGGAAATGGGGAATGGATTGTCAGACCAGACTTCTATCCTTTCTAGCCTGCCTTCATTTCAGTGCTTCCACATTGTAATTCTGGGTTTGGACTGTGCTGGAAAGACAACTGTCTTATACAGGCTGCAGTTCAATGAATTTGTAAATACTGTACCTACTAAAGGATTTAACACTGAGAAAATTAAGGTAACCTTGGGAAATTCTAAAACAGTCACTCTTCATTTCTGGGATGTCGGTGGTCAGGAGAAATTAAGGCCACTGTGGAAGTCATATACCAGATGCACAGATGGAATTGTGTCTGTTGTGGACTCTGTTGATGTTGAAAGGATGGAAGAAGCCAAAACCGAACTTCATAAAATAACAAGGGTATCAGAAAATCAAGGAGTCCCTGTACTTATAGTTGCTAACAAACAAGACCTGAGGAACTCATGGTCTCTCTCAGAAATTGAGAAATTGTTAGCAATGAGTGACCTGAGCTCATCAACGCCATGGCATTTGTGGCCTACCTGTGCAATCATAGGAGATGGACTAAAGGAAGGACTTGGGAAACTACATGATATGATAATTAAAAGAAGAAAAATGTTGCGGCTACAGAAAAAGAAAAGATGAATAGTACCTTTTATATCTGTGTGGAGTAGGTTATCTCTGGTCTGATTTTGACAAATGGAAGAGTGTCTACAGCCTGGTTTGCCTGTCTGCCCTCCTGGATGCTATTAAAGCTTTGTTTTACTGAACAATCACATGCCCAACTTTGTTGCCTTGTGGAAGATGAGTAAATGCAGTGCTTCTTAAAGTGGTCTCTTCTCTAACCCACAGTCTTTCGGTACTACTGTTTTTGGGAAGCCAAGCAAAGATAATTAATTGATCAGAAAACAGCTATGGAAATTTGACCTGAAGTTAGTGAAATAAAACTTTGAAGAGTGGAAAAAAAAATAAATGATTACATTCTGTGTCCACTATGTATGTTATCACATAGGGACGAAGAGTAGACTGAGGCACAAAGGAGTTAACTAATTTATCGTTGGAAGTAGCCTAAGTCTTTTCGGTAGTTTTGTTTTTTCAAGGTTTGTTTCCCTGTTTTTATAGCAATGTGCTTAATTTCTGCAAAATCCTTTCAGAAAAGCTTCATCTGAAATATACTTTGAAACTCATTAATGTTAGAATCTATCGCACAGTTTTTCTAAAAGATTTCCTATTATAATTTAACTTTTAACTTCTCTTCATCTGTTTATACTTACTTTTTGGGCAAAAACAGATAAATGAATATTTTGGAAATTTTCATCTGCTGCTCTTATGCAAGCTTTGTTTTCTTTAGACCTAGTTATTGTATTCCTTTTTACGTTCCAGTGTTTGTCTTGTCAATATCACCCATCCTATTTGCTGATTGAGTCCTGGATTTGCAAAGCTCACTAGTCACATAGTACGTCTAGTCGACAGGAGCATGAACTTTTTCATACATGTAGACACATGCATAGTTCTCCCAAGTTTTTCGTTTGGCGCACCCACACCCCTCACCCTGAGCAGAAGAAAGGCTGTAGTGGAAGGACCAGGAGTAGATAGTTGACTCCACAGGCCATGAGAGAAACACAGCTGTTAGAAACTAGCCTTGTTCTTTTTTTTTCTTTTTTCAGAGATTTTTGCTAGAAAGAGAGAGACAGAAATTGAGAAATCCCCCCCACACACACCCAGGGGGATGGCCACGCCACAGTCCCTTTTCCTCCATTCTCCTCTTGGGATCTTAGGCACGCACACACACGTGCCCAGCATGAGTTTAAGCCTCAGGGTCCGGTACTCGAACCGCAGTCAATTATATGGGAGTCCAGCGACATAGCCATTACGCCAACTGCTGGTCCCAAAACTAGCCATGTTCTAACAGGCTTTTTTTTTTTTTTAAACCATAATTGCCTCGGAGAGGAAAGTTCAGACTATGAGATTTCAGATCTCTAATAATGACCACGATGTAATGAAGTCCTTCTCTTCTGTAATTCTGAAATACTTGGAGATGAGAGAGGTTTCCCTCTCTAAAGTACCATTATTACTGTAAGCATAAAATGCTTCACAAACCCAATGTACAAAGTGTAAGCAGCATTTGAAATGGTGTGAGAACATGTCCTTTAAAGCACTTTTTTTTGGGGGGTGGGGGGAGAGATTATTGCTATAGGGTGCATGTGCTCACTGGAGAGACAGAAAGCAAGAAATCACCCCAGGGGGATGGTCATGCTGCAGTCTCTCTTCTCCATTCTCCTCTGGGGATCTTGGGCATGCATGCACATGCACCTGGCGTGAGTTGTAAATCTCCAGGTCTGGGACTCAAACCACAGTTGACTACGTGGAAGTAGTCAACATAACCATTACACCATCTCCTGATCCCTCCTTTAAGACATCTTTGAGATATAAACTCTGGGGGCCAGCAGGGGGCCTGGAGGTTATGGCACTGGATTCCACATGACTGACTCTGTGGTCGGAGTCCCAGCCCCTTGAGAATCATGCCAGGTATGTGTGTGTGTGTTCATGCCAAGAAACCATAGAGGAGCCTGGAGGAGAAAGGATTGCAGCGTGACCATCCCCCTAGGCGTGATTTCTCACTTTCCTTCTCTCTCTCTCTTTCTCTCTGGTAAGTGCACGTGCCCTATAACAAAACTTAAAAAAAAATAAATAAAAGAAGTAAACTGAAGAAAGCAAAACTAACATAGAAATTACAAAATTGATTTCTCTTTGTCTTTCTGTCTTTTTACATACACACAATCCAAGTATATTTTGGAAAACATATGTGTTCTAAAATAAAGTATAGCAGACTCTGGGAAATCTAAAACTAAAATGAAAATGTTAAACTAGTGGAAAATCTAGCTAACAGACTCTGACATGAATGAGGAAGCATTTAGAAGAGGCATTGTGCTTCGTTAAAAGGAATGCTTCCCATGAAATAAGTATACCGCAAGGAAATCAGAGAAACAAACCTTGAAAAGGCCACAGAAAAGACTGAAACAAACGCTCAAAGTGGTAGTTGAACTTTTAAAAGGATCAGCAGGGTGGAATGCGTTCTTCAGTGGAAGGTACAAAATTCAAGTGTCTAAATTTAGTGAAAAGGAGTCTTGGCAATTCTATATTCCTTATTTTCCCTCTTGTAAAACTCCCTTTTATTCTATTAACTAAAGGAAGAGAAATTAAATAGTTTAATGATCTTAAGGTGGTTTTGTGAGAAACTATAACATGTAAGTAACCTTTAGAAGGCTAACAGAAATTAAGAGCAGCTGTTAAAAGGCACTTGTGCTGAAACCAGCAGGTGACATGGTGGTCACATTGCTGGACTCCCACGTACTTGACTGTGGTTCAAGTCCCAGACCCCAGTGACTTAAAGCTCACACCAGGCATGTGTGTGTACATGCCCAATATCCTAAGAGGAGAATGGTGGAGAAGGGACTGTTGTGTGGCCATCACCCCTGGGGGGCAGATTTCTCACTTTTTGCCTCTCTCAGTATGTCTGGCGAGCGCAAAAATCTCTCTCTCTCAAAAAAAAAAAAAAAAGGCACTTGTGTTATCCTATTAATGTATTTAAAAACGACCAAATTCCAAAGTTATTTAAATATATTTGAAAAGTCTCCTAGGGTAATGGAGAAAGTGTCCCCAAACCTAGTCCAAAATGAGCCTTGGGGACACCATTAATAAGACTAACAGACAAACTATCAATCTTAGGGACACAAGGGTTTTTACAAAGTATAAAGAGACAAAAGCAACTTGGGCTCTTCCTTACTCCACCATCGTGGTGTGTGTGGTCCACTCGGCTCTTCGCCATATCTTCTCACAAGACTTTTAGAATCAAGTGGTTTCTGGCCAAAAAACAGAAGCAAAATCATCCTATTCCCCAGTGGATTAGAATGAAAACTGGTAATAAAATCAGGTACAACTCCAAGAGGAGACACTGGAGAAGAACCAAGCTGGGTCTATGAAGAACTGGACAGGATATGACCCACGTATTTATGCTGTACCAAGGTCACTATGGTCTTGCCGCATCAAGCTGAAAATGGTCACCACTGACTAGACTCTTGTGTTTATTGGGAAAAAATGATGCTTCACCTTGTCTCTAAGCTCTGCATTGGTAGGTTGGTTCAGTAATAAATATGTGAGACCTTTAAAAAAAGAAAAAGAAAGCAACTCAGAAGACTTTTTCTCTTATAAATAAATGTATACAGATCTCTGAATAATGTAATTAATGAAAATGTTTTAGATACTATTATTTTGCTCATGGCTGTGTACTGAGCACCTAGAATAGCACTTACATCTGACATATGGTAGGCCAATAAATAGTTGTTGAATGAATGAATGATCATGTCTGTACCATCATCAAATTGTTAGTAACAAAATGCAATTTAACAGTCAGTCAGTTGTGGTGATAATAATAACATTTAAAGTAAAAGTGCCCTCCCTTCCGCCTAATGATTCTCCTGTTCAGCTAGTTCAGATGCACTGGTTTTGTCAACC